AATCACTCAAATAAAAATGATATATCTCTAGCATATTGTACATTAACTTCTTTTTTTAATATTTTTGTTGACATATTACATATATTTGAAGTTATAGGATCTCTTTTCCTCACAATTATAGTTTTAAAATATTTTTAATATTTAAAAATACATTTGAGATAATAAATCAATTTTTTAAGATATTTTTTGTTTTTTTACAATGTAATAAGCAATATTATGTTTTCTAACATCTAGTAGGCTTTTTAAAAATTTTGCATAAAAAGAAGAAATATTTTTCTAATTTGTGGCTTATATGAGATTTTTTAAATTATTATGATATAGTTGAATATATAACATGACATCTAAAAGGTAGATCAATTTGAGCTTATTACATTTATAAGAATAGAAGATAATGTTTCTGAAAAATTCTAACATCAGATGTTAGAAGAAGCTATTGGCTTTCAATTAGTAACAACATATTGTAGACCTCTCTTCTAAAGCAAGGTCAATTTTTCATTATTAGTTTATTTTAAAAATCTGTTTATACTATTTTATAAAATATTTTTCCAATATTAAATTTTTACACTTATTCAATGTATTCATTGTGAGGTGTTTGGAGATGTAAATTTATTCTTTTTGCAATTATTCAATATTTTATTGGAATTTAGCATCTGGGTAGAACTTTTATTCATACTGAACTTTTTTTTTAATTTTTAAAAATTTCATTTAATTCTTTTATCTACACATTCTTCTACACTATAAGGTGGTTAAAGTATGAGTTATTATCCAAAACTTTATGATTTAAATAATCTCTATTTTTTTACTAATACGAATGTGATTTCAAACTAATAAAACTAAAATATTTATTTTCAAATTTCGTTATAAATCTTTGATTTATTTTTGTTTTTATTTTTTAAGAATATACATTAGAAAATTGTGATGTCTAGTTTTATTATACTTTAAAGCTATATTGACTACACTTGGCCTAATTTCATATGCCTTGTTCTTGTTAAGCAAATAAGACAATGTTGGAGTAATTTATACACCTATTCTACTACTATATGTATTAAAATTCACTACAAACTGGTTTTGAGTAAAATATTATTATTTTTAAAATAAAATATATTTCTCAAAAATAATTATTTATGATTATTAAAATCTGTATATTGTTTTTTTTAAATGGTGATGTTAAAAATATTGTAGATTAATATTTAAAACATGATCTATATATATATATATATATACTTGTGTCTAACTTTTTCGGATTATTAAAATCTTGTATATTTTATAAGTTATTAATCAATTTTATAATGATTTTTAGTGGTTTTTATAATTATAAAGTAGAATTACTTTTTTCTTATACAGTAACATCAAATATAATGCATATACTACATTGTTTGTTTTCTTAATCCATTTTGTTTTATACATTTAGATATTTATTTTTAAAAAAAGCCACAAGGCATTTTAATGTTAAATAAAAAAAAAAAAAAAAAACAACAAAAAACAAAAAAAAAAACAAAAAACCAAACAAATAAACAATCAAACAAACAAAATAAAATATACAAAAAAAAAATAAAAAAATAAAAAAAAATGGATGTTTTGTTATTTCCAAATATTTTGAAATTATAAATTCTTTTATTTTAGCATTAATTATATAATTTTACATTAAATCTTTTATTTTTAATTATATAATACAATGGCCTTCTTAGTAGCTAATATATTTATACTTATTTCTATATTTAAATAATATATCTTCTTTATTTTTTTATTTTTTAAATTAGAACATCAATATATATTTTTAAATATTTTTTTAATTATTTTTTTTTCTCTAAATATGATAAATTTTTTAAAAAATAGGTTTTTAAAATTCACTTAAATAAAAATTGTTCTAAAAAAATTTTTTTTTTTGGCATTATAAAATATAACTATTGCATTGAAAAATATTAGTTGGAATTTTTTAAAACTTATATTTTATAATTTTTATTAAAATCACTTTTCATCTTTTAAGACTTGAATAAATGTCAAGAATTATTGTTTTATTATTTTATCTCAATACATAAAAATACTTCACTTTAAATAATTTTTGAATTATATCTTTATTTTTTGTAACAAGTTTAAATAATCTATAGCCAAAATATCTTTCTATAAACTTATTCTTTCTATTTTTATATATTTTAGCAATATATATTAACAAAAATCTTCAAATTCTAAAATACTATAGATGTTAATTATGACATTAAGTTTTAATATGAGTAATCAACATGTAAATATTGTATATTACAATTTTACATTCTAATATTATGTAATATAATTAATTTAAAATAATCTCTTATATGATATTTTTTTTTAATAATTTTTAAAAAATCTATATATCTGTGCTAAAATTCTTTTGTTCTACATGATGGTAGCATGTGAAAGGTTTATGATACTACAAATATAAATTATTTCTACATTTAATGCTATTCACATCAAAAGTCCTTTAATTTTTTACAAAATAATTAAAGAATAAAGTTCTTCATAATGTAGATTACCTAAAAGAGCTAAAAGATATTTAAACTCAAATCATTAATCTCAAATTATTAATCTATACCACTACACTTTTCTTCCAATATTTTAGATACACCCATTATTTAGCTGCTCACACAAATTGATATAACTACCTAATATTCATAGATAATAGATGGATGAAGTTTGACTGCAAGATATATGCATGTTTTATAAAATTGATTTTAACACCACATAACAAGTAGATCATATTCATGTTACTTTCAAATTATGTTGAAGAGTGCAAATTAAAAAAACAAATCATATATAATCCTAAAATATGTTAAAATATCAAGAATATCCTTATATTTTTAATGATAGAAAAGCTATCCCTTATTTTTGTGATAATTATAAAAGTAGCATTAAATTTGATAAGATATATCCATATTCTTGTTTTAGATGAATTTAAGGTCCAAACCACATGTTGTGTAGATGTTAGCATAGCACTTTTTTGCACAATTTGGGCACCTCGTATTAGATGTTGCCACCGCTGCCATAACAATTTTTTTGTTTCAACCTCCAACTTCAAATTAGAGTGGTATAGTGATAGAATGTTGAAAGAGACAAAAATAACTGTAAGTTTATTAAAAATATAGATTTTAGAACAAAAGTACTACAATTTATATAAACTAGTGGCCTAATACACATGAAGGGGGATTATGGTACAAGGATGTGAAGTAGCCAAGAAAGACACATGTAGATATTGCAAGATACTACATGCAATTGGATAATAAAAATATAATTGAAGCTAGGCCAAAAGCAAGCATAGAGGCAATGCATGTGTCCAAGAGTCCTTTCTAATTTGTGGTTCTTGATTGTCTTTCTACTTCAAACACTAGTTTGATCTTAGATTACTTCAATTTTATGGAGTCTCCAAAATTAAACTCATAGTTTGACTTCAAGAGCCACTTAAGTAATAATGACAGTACTAATAAATATTTGCTAGTTGCAAAGAGAGGTTAGAAAGCTTGCAACAGATTTGAGTTGAGTAGTGAATTAAATTAGTTAATATTGATCTCTTAGAGCCTAGTCATTAAGTCATCCAAATTAATTTTGTATAAATTATCTATATAATTATGCAGAAGTATTACAAGCATATATATATATATATATATATATGCCAATAATTATCCAAATAAAATAAATAGATAGAAGTAGATAAATGTAGATTAATTTGATAATATTTTGTAGAAGCATCTAAGAAGGCATTGTACTTTGCCCATGCTTTGGCATATTGCGACTTCATATGCCTTGTAATATTGTCTATGAAGAAAGGAATTGAAAATGTTTTCACTTTCATAATTTGTTTTTGCTTATACCCTATGAAATCGACCTCTTCATAGTTGAGCTTCTCACAAAACAAGGACTCCATTGATAGAACTTGGTCAATATTCTTATCTTGTGGATTTGGCACAAGGTTGAACCTCATCTCCACAAAGAATTTCCAAGGGGTCTGCAATTCCTTCACTATGGTGAATTTGACATGCATACTTTGACATGATTGTTGTCACTAGACATTGGTATTTCTCTACATGGATCACATCATGTAGTGCCTCTCTCAATTGTCCAAAAGAATACTGTTGGGGCCTTATTTTAAGGCATTTCACTAAGCTTTTTCTATGAAAATTAAGTTTTTTTTTGGAAAAACCCTAATTTAAAGAGGCTTATTGATAGTCCTACAAAAATCTCCAAAGTTATTGTAATTAGTAAAAAAAAGAAATTATGATATTTAATAGATGTAAATCTGTAATATAATAGAATTTTTGTTTGGTAAAATAACTAACGATCATACCAAAATTACTAATAACATATGTCTTTGACAATGTAAAAAAGTATGTTATCCTTTCATGTATGTTGTCATTACATGTACACAATTTCTATCCAGTAAAATATTTAAAGATGAGGATGTTGTTCTAATTGTCTTTATTCAAAACAAAGTTATGAGACCTGACAAAAAAAAAAAAAAAAAAAAAAAAAAACTCTCATTAGATAATTGAGATAATGATTAAGTTGTTTATTGTGATATTACAATTTTAGTTATTGAAGTAAACAAGAACTGTCTTTGCTAATACCACTCAAGAAACCTGTATGGTTCTATTGATATTCAAAGTTATATTATTTATTTTTATTGTTAATTAATTAATTTATTTTTGGACTGATATTTCCTTACAGATTGTTGATTTATGACTTGGCCAATTAAAAAAATCTTGTGTCAAACAACCCTGGTTTGCAATAGTATATGAATAAAATAATTAAAATAATAAGAGAAATAATAACTTATTTTTGAAAAAAAAATACTTTCAATAAAAAAAACATTGAGTAAATTAAAATTATTTTTCTTCAATCTCTCTTGTGTTCAAATTTAAATTATTCTATTGGGATCCATGAAAAAGTTCAGAAGCTCAAGCATCGCATTCACCATGTCTGTATATAAACATCCACAAATCATGTTCATATGAAACATCTACACTAACAGAAGAAAACTTCAAAAAGATTGCAACAGCACTTCCCGGATTGTAGAAGATACACAATTCGGAACGCAGGTAACACACTTTCAAACATGAAAAATATAAGCTTAGAAAAGTCCATTTGAAAAACTAAAATAGAATACACTGTTTGCTACGCACTGCCCCTCCGCTCAGTCAGAAATAAAGTAGTGGGTGAATCCAGAAAGGCTCACAACAGTAATCAGAGTAACCGGTGAAGTGATACTTTCAAATTGTGATAAAGGTGGTAAATAAAAAAAGAGGGGGGGCCGTCGAAACATGACTTAAGGGGGGGAACGGGGGATTGCAAAAATAGGGCGATATCGTCAACTGAAAGGTCCCAAAGGCCGTGAAGGGGAACGAACAAACGAGTGGTGAATCGAGGCGGGTGCAGTGCGCGCTGTGAGCATTCATGGCCTATCTAACATGTCGTTGAGCGATGTGCGATGCCGAGTTTCTAATACAAGGCCGTCTGGGACTTTGTCGAATGCGCCGGTTGGCTACAAATCAGCCTGCTTCTCGGAGCTCAATATGCTCTACTGCAGGTGCAGCCTGACAGCCTTGGCACCGCGGGGGAAGGCAGTTTGCTTTTCCCGGTGTGCGATCGCCAAGTACTTCCGCACCCGTACTTGTTGTAATTAGAGGACGAGCTATTCCCGGATTCTTGGTCAGACATGGTAGAAGCTTCGCATCCTCCGGGAGAAAAATGTGGTGGTGTGCATAAGTGCTGCGCCGAGGCCGTTGGTCTTCGCATTCTTATTGCTTGTGTCGTCACGGACCGTGAAGTCGTTGGATCCCTTCCACCTACAGGGCCAGTACATGAAGCAGGCCTTGATGGTCTCTTCCGGATGAGCGCATCACAGCAACCGAGTCTGTAGACTTCGAGCCCACTCAGACACAGCTTCGCATCTCTGCCCATACTAGCTCGACCAGGTGGCCATGAGGACTTCGGGCGCAGTATCCAGCATGAAGGCCGCAGCTTGCGTTGGCATGGCCGCCTTGATGGCGCTGAGCGTCCTGCCTTGCGTGGTGGGAGCGCCGTACGGGTGGAGTGAGGCGCATATCACGTACTACGGAACAGCTAGTGGCGGTGGCACGCAGGGAGGCGCCTGCGGGTATCCGAACACCTTTGCGATGGGATACGGGGCGATGACCGCAGCGTTGAGTTATCCTCTGTTCCAGGGCGGAAAGGCATGCGGCGGGTGCTATCAGTTGCGGTGCAAGTGGGTGACGCCAACCCGAACCGTGCACAACTGGTGCTGGAGCTACTCTCGCACCATCACCGTGACCGCAACAAACTCGTGCCCTCCAGGGTCGCACGGAGGTTGGTGCAACTGGAGACCTCACTTCGACTTGCCAATGCCTGCTTTCCTGACGCTGGCACGGCGTGAGGGAGGAGTGGCTCCGGTGTATTACAGGAAGGTCCGGTGCGCGAAGCGCGGCGGAATTCGGTTCACCATCGGAGGCAACCCGTACTTCTTGATGATCCTGATTCACAACGTGGGAGGGGCGGGCGATTTGAAGGCAGTGAAGGTCAGGGGAGGAAACGGATATTGGGTGCCCATGTGGCGCAACTGGGGCGCGCTGTGGACATGCAAAACGAGGATGAGCGGAGCACTGTCTTTCCAGATTACGACGGGCGACGGGCGCACTTTGACGACTTACAAAGCCGTGGGCGGGTACTGGAGGTTCGGACAGACCTGGGAAGGATCCCAGTTCAGGTAGGTAGATTGTAGCGGACCTCGACGCTGAGCGCAGCATCGGTGGCGACAGTCGCTGCGACTGATGGGGAAATGGCGTCGCTCCGCGGTCCGAGATGGGCGTGCAAAAACTGGACGGCCATCCGTCCGTGCGAAGCGGATCTCGCAGTCATCATGGACGAGACGACAACGTAGAAAGAGTGGGTTAAGTGTACCAATAGTGTTCATTCTGGGGAGCGCAACTAACTGTAGCGGTTTAGGATACTTGGAACCAACGGATTCCGCTGGGCGATTGTAAATGGATTAAATGATTGGGGTACCTAGTCTCGTATTCAGGGACATGTATCTGGAATAAAACAGTCAAGCACCATCGTTTGATAACAGAAGTTTGGAAGACTCGATTGAAGCTTTGTATTGTCGCGTATGTGCGTGGATGTCACAGGTCAAACTGCCTTGTGGCGTGTTGAGGAGGTTTAGAGTGGTGTTCAGCACATGGAGATGGAGCTGGTGAATGCAGAGAAATAACTATGAATGAAACGATACGGTGGCTCAATGCTTTAAATATTAATAGCAATTTGTTAGAAATGTTTTAAATTAAGTTGTTTAAGAAAATTTTTGAAGATACGTTATTGGAATTCGTGTGAAATAGGAAAAAATTACATCAAGAATACTTCCATATGGATTTACCTTGTCGTAAAGTAATTTGTATATTCGTATCTTTTATTTGTTTAATTGACAACCAAGTATTACAAAGATTAGTATTATTAAAATTAATAGTTGTTGCTTAAAGGAAACGTTAAAATTAATTTAGTATTTAATACTAGGTTATTTTACTTAGCTGCAATAAAAATGAAAATCATAATTAATTATTATTATTATTATTATTATTCGAATTTTTTCTTTAGATATATTTTTTTAAATTTGAAAATAATATTATATTTTAAATCCATGAAAAAAAAATAATTAGAAATAAATATAAATACGTTGAAAAGATAATATGATTTTAAAATCAATCTTAATAATTATTTATATATTCTATATTTTAATATATATATATATATATATATATATTTATATATTTATATATTTATATATTTTAAATTTTCGTATTTTAGTTATTTTAGATAAAATAAATCATCAATAATCATTAGTAATGTCAAAAGAATAAATCAAAAAGTAAAATATATGACAAAACAAATTGCTTTTATAAACAATTAAAACAAAATAAACTAATTTAAGTGAATGACAATAAATTTAGTTATTTCAACAAAAAATAATTGTATTTCTATTTACTATTCTATAAACATCTAATAAATCAATCAAAAAATAAAATATCTATTATTAGATTATTAAACCCATTATTTTGATATCTTATTTTTAAATGAGTATTTTAATCTTTAAAAACAATACTTGCTCAACCAATCATTAAATATTATCCATTAAAAATTGGAATCATAAACTTCTATAGTTAAAAAAATTATAATCATTTTATTTTAAAAATATTATATTAATAGAAGACAAAATATTATATGTAGTTTTTTAAAATATAAGGTGGTTATGGAATTTAATGAAAATATTTATTAAAAAGTACTATTTTAAGCATATTTTTATAGAATTTGGTATATTTTTATATGACATATTATTTGTACAATGAGATATTAATAGAATTTTAAATTTTATTATATTATGAAGTATTTTTTTATTTTTATTGAATAATTTTTATTTTTTTATTTATTAAATTGACTGATAACGTCTTTTAGGAGTCAAAACTTATAGACTTATTTTTATAGAGATATAAAATAATTATTAGCCTAATTGATATAAAATTATTAATTTAAAATTTTAATTTATAAGAATTTCAAATTCTATATTATATCAGAATGAAGAAAATATATATGTAAATGTTATTTAAAATTATAAGTTTAAAATAAAACAATTGATTTTAATAAAAATTATAGCTATTTTTGGCCTTCATTGTCAATTGGATGGACAAGCAGAGCATGTAAACTAAGTTTTGGAGTAGTTGTATTTTAGGTGTATCATCAACTCTCAACTTGATGATTTAACAATCCTTTATGTTATTTGCAAAGTTTTCTTATAATAATATGGTACATTTTTTTAGGTAACAAATATCTTTTTTTCTAATTATAGTTATTATCCATGACTTCATGTTTTTGTTTGTTCAAAAGTTGATAATTTTTTGGAGGTGGATTTGGCAAAAAAAATTATGAGCTACATTCAATAATAAAAGCACACTTAAAAGAAGTTCAAGAACAACAAAAGATTAACATGGATGCCTATCACAAGGAGCAATCTCAATTCCACATTGGCCCCAAGATATGGTTACTTTGTCACAATAGGAAGACTAGCTATCCTTATGAGAAGTTGGATTCCCATAGACTTAGGCCATTTCCTATTTATGATCCAATCTATTTTTTTGTTTATTAATTACATCTATTGGATTTTATGAAGATCCATTCCATATTATAGGAATGTGAAGGTATATTTCACCTTTTAATCCAAATTACAAGATGGCCTCAATTCAAAGTTGCTTGTAATTGGTGGTGTGAAGTAAAGGAAGCAATTAGCAACATCAAAAGAAGTCCAAACATAAAATAAATGAAATCAACAAAATCAAATAATTACACAATCCAAAACTTGGTCACAATCTATTTACTAAATTTTTACCAAATAAAAAGTAAAATAAAAGTAAAAGTAAAAAATCTATTTTTAGAAATATAATTTTGTTATGTTTCCAATGGTCTAAGAAACATATAAATCCGAGTTACTATAAGTATGTTATGAAGGTTTAAAAATAAATAAGTAAATAAATGAAAATTTAAGTGAATATATTTTATCTCAAGGGTAATTTGTTTATAGATCAAGGATTTGAGCAACACCAAGGCTCACATGTAGTGTGTATGGATTTCTAAGAAAGGCTACAAGGCTTTAGTCTTATTCTCTTAATTACCTTCAAGGTGCTACAATCCATATGGAATTTGTGCACTTCCTTGCTTTCGAAGACTATACTAGCTAATGGTTCTCCTATTTTCTACTAGTATATCCAATATTTTTACATTTTTGACTTCACCATGGTGTTCAAAAACACCCAATTAGCCTATGAACCTTACATGGCCTTCAATTCTTGCTCCATTTCTTCATAATGGCTCCCAAAATAATAAAATTCATTTTTATCAAAGTCTTAAAAATTGCTCTAAATTTTTAAAATAAATTCTAAATAAAATTTGAAAAATTTGAAAATAATTTTATAGTAATAATATCAATTTAAGACTATAATTTTTTATCTTGATAATTTTTCATAGTATTAGAATCAATATAAATCCACTATAAATCCTACTTTTTATATAATTAATTAAAAAGACATGAGGTTTTTTTACATGCTTCTTTTAACTACTAATTAATATTTATAGTTTTTTTTATAATTAATACATATAGATAGAAGGCCAATATAAATATTGATCTTAATAAAAAATCTTTAATATTCAATAATAAATAAAAATTCTAAACCAACTAAGATAATTATCTCTAAGACTTATTAAAATTCTATTTCTACAATTAACATTCTAATTTTTTATTTTTTTAAGGATTTCTATATTACTCAACATATTTTGTGATTTTAAGCATTCTAAATGCATCTTTTTGCCCTAAAATAACTAATGAGTTGATTTTATGACTTACAACATATCTCTTCTTGAGCCATATAAGATAGTGAATATCTCAAGAAGAAGTCAAATGCCACGTCTTCCTATAGAAGTAGATAATAAACAAGAATTTGAGATTGAAGAAGTACTAGATTCAAGGTGGCACTGAAATAGGTTGGAATATCTTGTTCATTGGCATAAATATGATATTAGTGAATGCACATGAGATCCAATAAAGAATCTTGTAAATACAAAAAAAAAAAGTTGAGGCGTTTTATTGATAACATCCATCAAAATTAAGATGAAAAATAGTAAATCTTTGCTATAAAAGAAATAAGATCCAAGAAAAATAATATTCTACCTTCCATCCTTATTTGTAGTTTTTATGTGTTTGTGATTTTAGAGAGATGAAAAATCAACAACTTATAGATTTAACTCAAAAGCTATGGTTTCTTGACTTATTGGATAAGACATTGTGATTGTTACAACCTTCAAGATGACGTAATTGAGATGAAGATCCTCAAGAATGACATGTTCTTTCTTGAATAGATGGCAAGATACAATATGTTGAGTATCACAACTTTGAAAGAGACTCCCAAAGTTTGGTGGTTTTATTAGAGATTGGAATGACTCTTGGTGATATTCCAAATGTTTTATTTTAAGAGAGTTATGAAGGCCTTAAAAACGATCAAAGAATATAGTAGTCTTCTTGCCCTAATATGTGACACTATCTTTGGCTCAGAGTATTATAGATATCTAATAAGAAGATTTTAGAATCATTCTTAGAATATTCTATTAAATTATAGAAGATTCTATAAGATTCCTAAAATATTTGAAAAGATTGAAAAAGATTTTTAGAAAGTTTTAGAAGGTTTTTAAAATATTTCATGCTATTATATTTATAACTTTATAAATTCTAAAATTCTTAGAATACTTCATATTATTATAATAAAAATTATAATATTTCATGCTATTATATTTAAAATTTTCTAAAACTTATGAAATTTTAAAAATAAATTTATAATTTAAATTTTTTTATAAATTATAAAGCACATTTTGATAAAATTTGATATATTTTTTATATCATATATTATTTATATACTGAAATATTAATAGAATTTTAGATTTTATTAAATTATTAAGTATTTTTTAATGAATCCGTGGTCCAAACTCTATTACTTTAGATGTAACTAGGTCTAAAATGTAGTAGATTTGAATTTTTCTTTTGGACTTAGCTTTGATTTAGAAACAACTTCTTAATAACCTTAAATCATAATTAGATTATTACAATTTTTAGCAGATATTTATTTGTAAGTATTAACTTCAAAAATAATTTTCTTTGCATTTAAATTGATAAGTTTCAATCACAATTTATGCTAATTTTAATTTTTTACTAACTAATAATTAAAATTGTATTGCATATAATTTAAATTTCATAGCAAAGATTTAATTTAGATCAAAAAATCAAAGAGACAAAGAAGTATTTAAAATAAAAAAATCTTTATTTATGATGAATTTAAATAAAATTCTATAATAAGTAATAATAACCATAAAAACATATTATCAACTATTAGTGTTGGTGGTTATTTATATTACACTTAATTAATAGTGGATAGCCATTTTTTTTGCTAGCAACTATTTTTTCTCTTGGCTAAATCTATACTAATCTAAAATTTATGACATTAAGTTCTTATATGAGTTAAGTACTTCTTATCTACTTTGTACTATCAAAATCC